CTTTAAAAAAAGATGTTTATTATGTGTGTGTGGCTATGTGATTTCAGAGGCCAAAAGAGGGTGTCGGATTCCCGGGAGCTGGAGTTACAAGCAGCTGTAAACCGACCAGTTTGGTGGTAGAGAACAGAAGTCAGGTCCTGTGTAGGAATGGCTAGCACTCTTGACCACTGAGCCATTCTCTCATGCCCTCACGCCTTTTTCCGAGTCAGGGTCTCATGCAGTGCAGGCTTGCCTCGAACTTGCTGTGTATCTCAGGATGACCTTGAACTCCCCTCATCCTTCTGCCTCCATCTCCTCAGGGCTGGGATGAAAGACATGAGCTACTTCATGAACCACTGGTTCATGTGGTGCTGGGGACAAACATCAGGCCTCCCTGTAGGGTAGGCAAGCACTCTACCCACCGTGTCACACCCTGAGTCTTATTTCTTTGTGTGTTTTATCTCAGTTTTACCAGGTGTAGCAGATAGAAGCAGAAACAGAGAGACAGAGCAAGCATACACTCAAGCTCAGTTGCTAGCATTTCTGTGGCTGGGGATCCCATCTCGGATCACCTGCTTGGCTACCGTGTGGCTTTTAGCAGCTTACTTACTCACTCGGCCTGGTTTTCATATTTGTCAAATGCAGATTATAGTCACATGAATTTGGTAAGATTCCTTCTGAAGTTTAGATAGATGCTAGAATCTTGGAAAGACACAAAACACTTGTAACAACATCTGACACACAGCATGGGATACACAATAAATATCAGGCCAGCTTGGGCTACACAGTGAGTGCTGGGCCAGCCTGTACTATACAGTGCAACCTTGTTTCCAAACAAACAAAAAAGTGGGGTTGATGTTTCTTTTGTAGGACTTAGCACTCCATGCTGTAGCACTTAGAAATCAAATCATGTCAAGTACCAGGGATCCATTTAAACACCTCATTTAAAAACTCAATGACAGAGCTGAGAGGGCTCAGTGTATGAGAGTGCCTACTAATCTTGCTTTGTTTCTCTTGCTAGCATCCTCAACAGGGCACTTTTTCAGAGACTTGTAAAGTTCACTTCCGTGGAGGCAGAGTTTTGTTTAGGTCTCTCAGAAATGTGTTTTTTCTTTTTAACTTTATTGCACGTAATTTCATAAATGAATCACTGAGTTTTTAATAGAGATGTTTAAATGGAATATTCTCTGCCTTCTATTCTGTAAGTGGTCATTGCTGGCATAGAACCATTCCTCTGTTAGGGTTGCCTGAGTTTAGTTTTGGTGTGTAAGTGTATGATGTACGTATGTGTGGTGTATTCTTGTGAGTGTGTGGGAGTGGTGCAAGGGTCCGTGCTGTGTGTGGAGGCTTGAGGAGGATGCTGGGTGCCCTGCTGTGTCACCCTCTACCTTATCACCTGTGACAGGTTCTCACACTGAACTTGGAGTGAGGCTGGCAGCCAGTGACCCAGTGACCCTCCTGTCTGCCCCGGCAAACCCCTGCACTAGGGTCACAGGTGTGTGTGGCCATGCCTGGCTTTTTGTTTGAGTCCTGGGGATTCGAACTTGTGTTCTCATGCACTCTCATACACTGAGCCCTCTCAGCTCTGTCATTGAGTTTTTAAATGAGGTGTTTAAATGGATCCCTGGTACTTGACATGATTTGATTTCTAAGTGCTACAGCATGGAGTGCTAAGTCCTACAAAAGAAACATCAACCCCACTTTTTTGTTTGTTTGGAAACAAGGTTGCACTGTATAGTACAGGCTGGCCCAGCACTCACTGTGTAGCCCAAGCTGGCCTGATATTTATTGTGTATCCCATGCTTTAAACTTGCTGAATTCTTGCCATGGCTTTCCAAGCCTTGAGCTTACTGGATTAAAATTGCTAAGCTTACACAAACCCCCTATTTTACAAAGGAATTGATCATACTGAGGAAGGAAGCATGCTAGGTCTGCATCCCATCCTACCTCGAGTTTATTTTAACCCACTGCTGCTCTAGGCTCAGAGAGGTGGTGAGTATTACTTGGTGACTAGCCACTTTTTTTTTTTTGCATCTGAGGGTTTTTTTTGTTTGGTTTTGTTTTTTGATAGCTTTTTGTGGTGATATCTTTCTTGCACAAATAAATGTGGTGATATCTTTCTTGCCTGTCTGGGGGTCAGAGAATGGAGCTTCCCACTAGCTAACCATAGAGGTCTGGAGGTTTGTACAGACAGACAGGAAGTGATATAGCTGGGCAGAAACAATATATAAGCAGGGAGAAACAGGAAATCACTCTCTTCTTTGCTGGGATGCTTAGGAGGTAAGGTGTGCTGTGGCTTGCTCCTTCTCTCTGACCTCTCAGCATTTGCTTCTATATCTGACTCCGGCTTTTTATTATATAGACCAATGAAGAACTCCCTTTACAGCTTCTTAAGAAGCCAATTATATTACTTACCTTTCACTGCTTTTGTATGTATTTCAGTCATTTTTGCCCTGGCTTCTTTGATTTGATAATAAATTTCTAGAAAACTTTAAAACAGGATAGGCAGTTTTCTGTGAGTCTAACTGGGAACATCCCTATTATTTTTTAAATTATATGTTTGTGTGTGGGGGGGTGCATGCATGCGAGCATGTGTGTCTCTCTGTGTGTATGTGTGTGTACCTCTCTATGTGTGTCTCTGTGCTTGTATTTGTTTGTGTGTGTGTGTGTGTGTGTGTGTGTGTGTGTGTGTGTGTGGTGCGCGCACCCATGGAGGCCAGAAGGCATCAGATCCTCTGGCACAGAACTCTAGGTGTTGTGAGCAGGTCCTCTGCATGAGCAGAATATGCTCTTGACTCCTCAGCATCTCTGCAGCCCAGTTCTATATGTCTTCCATTTGGTGGCAGAAGCCTGATAGCTATTTAAAGGGAATTTGGAAGTTTCCTGTCTTGTCTTGCCTGGTAAAATGCCTTTGTAAGCAACTAAGTAGACAGGAATGAATGCCCTTGATGTACCTGACGGGTACTTTACTATACATCTTCAAGCCTGCTCCATGGAAGATCTCAAGCCTTTAGGGAACTGTAGGGCAGCCTTTCATCCCAGCCCCCAGGAAGCAGAGGCGGGAGAATCAGAAGTTCAAGGTCATGCTTGGCTACATAGTCCATTCAAGACTAGCCTGGACTACAAGACACTTGCCTCAAAAAATAAAAATAAAACATGCCCTCAAGTGTTTCTTCTTTTTATGAATTATGCTCCTCCAACCCCCACCCCCTGCCCCCAAACACAGACCCCCTGCCCCCAAGCACAGAGGTAGATAGCATGGAGTCCTTTCTTTTCTCTTGATTATTTTGGTGGCCTGCTCACTAGGACACCTGGGAACTTGCCACACATTGTCACCATGTCACCCAGGTCTGGCCTCCTCTCAAGGGCAATGTGTTTGATTTCAAGCTATCAGTAATGGTCTTCCAAGGGTTTCCGGTATGCCCTTGAACCTTATTCATTTATTTCGGGCTCTGGAAGGTAGCTGACACTCTGGTTGTCTGTTTTTCATAGTCTTTAGTGACTACGATCTTAATGCTTTTTGAAAAAAACCTGGACCAATTTGGGGTCTTATGGATGTTGGTGATTACCCATGAGCATAACTTTCCCGGAAATAAGAAATGCCAAAGATTATAAATTACAAGAGAGCCAGAAAGAAAAGAACAATAATTCATCTTATTCATGGTCCACCTGATTGTTGTCTGAGTGCAAAAGGTTATGTGAGTTAATTTTCCATCCCCTAAAGTGATTTAATCAACTTATTGCTTACTTTTAAAGTTTTTATTAGTGTGTATGAATTTATTTAATAATGGGTTTCATTTTGTTATTTTCCTACACATGTATAGTACGTTCAGATCATCTTAGCCCTCCATTGCCCTCTTCCATCCTCTACACCATTATCCTCATAATCCTCTTAATTTTTCTAACAAGTCTCCCTTTTGTTTAATGCCCCTTTTTTGTGACCCAGAAGCACACACAAACACATACATATGCAGGTGACCATGGAGATCAGACAATGACTTCAGATCTACTGGAGCTAGAGTTACAGGTGGTTGTGAGCTGCCATGTAGGTGCTGGGGACTGAAATCAGGTCTTTGTGAGAGTAGCCGGTGCTCTTAGCAACTGAGCCATCTCTCTAGCCCACAATGATATAGTTTCTTACATTAGCATGGGAAGATGGGTCATTTTACAGGAGTGTGGGCAACTGACCAGTGGCTGCTGTCCTGGAGAACTTGCTGTTTCTTCAGTAGTCATTTTGTTTGTTTTTTAATTGAGTGTGTGTGTGTGTGTGTGTGTGTGTGTGTGTGTGTGTGTGTGTGTGTGGGTGTATGCTTGT